TATAAAAAGTGATCTTCATATATATATATATATATATATATATATATATAGAATGTATATGAATATGTTTTAAAATTGGTTTTTGTTTTGATTCCGTTTATCGACCGTGCTAGCCGTTCGACTGTCCATTGGGTTTGTTCTTTGTTTTTGGCTACCTCATCACCTCATCTCCATAAAAAGAAAGTGTAATACAATTAATCGATTGATTATCATTTATTGATTTTTAATTTCGTGATAAGCTCATACACATCTTCAAATGGCATTCAATTTTTATTCATTTCAATCAAAAAAACTGTTTCATTCCTTTATCAGAATGATGAACATCATATTCCTTTATGCTGTTCACATTATGTAATTCATCCGTTGCGTTCAATTCAATTCCTTTCGTTCTCAATCTCTCTTTCTCTCTTTCTCTCTTTCACATAAGATATTGGCCCCTTCCCCTGTTTTTTTTACAATTTTTATAAAGACAAAAAGTTGTCCGATTTGCTTGAATATGTTTTTGAGGTCCGTGTGTCGCGACATGAAAATCAAAGCATTGTGTCGTTCTTCTGCTGTGCTCTAGGTCCCGAAAAATGTGTAATGACGTAACAAATTTCAATATCTGGCTCTCTCTCTCTCACCCTCTACATGTTTCTTTTCTAAGAGATAGAGAGAACCCTCTCTATTAAATTGTACCTTCTTTTTTTCTATTTCTTTTTTTTTCTGCAAACCTGACGTAATCATTTTATCAATAGAAACAACATACTTCATCCTCCCCCACCTCCACTTTCCTCTTCTATTCACTTTTTCTGACGTCTTCTCTCATTATTTGAATGAGATTTAACCGTTCCATTCTTCAATTAAATCCACGGCTCTCTCAACTTGTAGTATTTAGTTGATAAATAATCTTTTTTTTTTAATATTAAACCGAATGAAACAACTATTATTCACCCACTTTTTTGCTTTACTGACATCACCACACATCCGACTCACCTGTCCTAGTTGGTCACACTTACCATGCCATCTGCTTTTCCATCAATTTTTCCATCAATTTTTCTCAATTTTCTTCATTCGTTCATCATTCTCTTAGCCCATTTCTTTTCCTACATTTGTAACAATTTTTATTCGAAATTCTCTTAACTTGTTGTTGTTTACTTGACCGTTATGTAATCGAGTATTGTTCGGTAGACTTATTCACGAGACCCATGGGAGATTTAAGTTTGTATCCTCCTTTTCGTATTCGTCTACATGGTCATCTTTCATTTGTTCTTACAGTTTGCTTTTCTTCTTCTTCTCCCAACTTTCTGCCGGAAATTATTCAAATATCTTCATTTTTTTTGCCTAAAAAAAATAATATTACAATTGAAGTTTTGTTACGATTCTCGTAAATCCCGACGTGATTGCTCAGTTTCTCGATGATCCGATCTTAGACATTTTTTTTTCTCTCAATTTTTTGGTTAAAAACATTCTGCTGGTCATTATGATCTTCTATTATTTCAGGACAAAAAGTGAAATTGCAAACAATCAGCCAACTAGGAAGGCTTAAGTATATCAAAACCCAATCAACCAAACAGCCCAACAAGAAGGTTTAATGAATTTTCCTTTTTTTTTCTTTTTTTTTTCGATTTGATTGGTTCCAACAAACCTATTCATCTCGTATTTGTCTCAAATCGTTTAATTGCCATTAAAGCACATGAATATCAATATGAGAGAATGCCTTAATATGGTAATTAAGCTGCAACGCTATGTTGGGGCCATTTACTTAATGGTTATCGGCGATTCTTTCATCCTCAACTGACCGCAGCTTTCGCGCCTTCGTCGTTCACCTTTCTTCTTATTCTTTGTATTTCCTTTTTCTACTTACGCTTATACTCGTATACAAGAAGCTTTGAGAGAATCTTATGTTCATGTAACTTGGAATTCGTTTCCGCTCATTAAACAATCCTTATTTTATACTTTCAGAGTATGCGGTGGCGCTCAGCTGTGCTATCGTTGTACCTATAACCAAGGTTCGTTTACAATTTTTTAATCACTTGTGACACCAATGTTTCATTATAGGTATGCGCTTCGGCTCCCCCATCGCATTGGGGGCAATTTTACTGTTCAGCCTCCTCTTATTAACATTTTCAAGTCATTTCTTGTTTGAAAACATAGAACAGACAACTAATAAATATAAAAGTAATCAAGTCAAACTTATCAAAGACGATGTGCAGCCCATTACCCGGTCCAAGTACTCAGGTATGCTTTTCAGTAATTAACCAAATCTCCTACCGCATCTATATAAAGTCACTGTCACTATCGATTTCATTTATAATCAATCTCTTTCCTTCAACTTTTTTTTTTGAGAATAAAATTGCGTAAAGATAACATTTCGCTAGGAAATTGTTAAATGATAGGTGCTAATATGATGGATGTGTGTGATAAACCGTTTTTTGTCATCATTACGCACTTTCACGTGTTTCACGTGAGCGTGCAGTATGATGAGAATATACGTGTCACACTTCATTCTTTGTTTACCTAACACTGGAAAACGGTTGTAATTATTTTTTTGTTTGTAGGATTGCCAGCATCTGATGGCTTGTTGTTCACAGTTGATCGACACTACGTACGTCGAAGACGAAGGAGAAGTGTCGATATTACTCAAGAAGATCGTCGGCAAGAGGCTTCTGTTAAAGGAGTCGCTCGCGACTGCCACAAAGCCTGTCACCTTCGACTACGTTCAGTTGATGGACAATCCTATAAAATCCACTTACATCGGTTCCATCAAATTGCTCCATCACGCAATAAGTAAGGCAAAAGATAACATCTCAATCTAATGTTACATTTTGCAGGACTATACCACATATTCATAATTCGGATATTGTACCGCTTGTTCAATATTTTGAAGGAGAAGATAGTGTTAGAGCTAAACTCTCACGTGCATCGCCGAACTGTATCTATAGAGCACGTGTTGTCGGATCATCGGATCAGAGTATTGTCAATCTATGTGACAGCGATGATGGATTGGTATGTATTTCGTACAGTTTTTAGAAAAATTGAAAGAAATCGCAGTTCTAGTAGAATAAGATGTATGAAAAAAATTAGAAAACCAATTGTTGCTAAACGCTGTATTCCCCTTTGATCTATGAAATGTTATCCAGCTGTTTTGCATCCACCTTTTTTTCCTCCTAAGTTGAACCAAATGAATCGAAAAGCTAAAAAAAAGACATTTCCGATATTTGTTAAGCCTAGAAGAATTAAAAGTTTATTTCTTTGCAGTATGGATTACTTGCCCTTCCCAACAAGGGAGTGTACACGGTTGAACCAATTGTCGATGAAAACAATGCCAGCACAAGTAGTTGCACCAGTTAATTTGAGTTACTAATCTCTATCTTTGAAGCAACAAGTGGTCGACATAAAAGCCATGTTGCCCATCAGATTCGATCACACACATTCCATCACCATTTTGACGATACCAATTCAACGTCAACTTCAGAGAGTATGGAACTGCCAATTTTTGACGCGAACTCAACTTCGGAACAGCCGTTGTGGGAAGATCTCAGTTGTAAGCAACATTTAATTTTACTTGGACATAGTTGATGAGTTGATAGCTCGAAATCTTTATCAACAGAGAAAAAGAACTTCTTGATTTGTAACATATACAACGTAATAAGAAGAAACATTAGCTGTTATCCATCACTTGGCTCCTTTCTTTCAACAACTCGTTAACACGCCCTATCAACCCTATGCTTTTGTCTTTTAGTCTCATCTTAGTTTACACTTGAACAAGGAAGAGATGGCCAACAGCCAATACTAGGAAAAATAATAATATTGAAGAAAAAAGGAAACTTACATTACGTAAACATTTTATTTTAAGTTCGAAGTGCAAGATCAAGAAGAGCTGCAAACTCTTGGGATCATTACGTTGAGGTAGAACAATTCTGTTAAGACAAGTGAATTATTAATTGGTTTAAGGTGTTAGTGGTGACAGATGTAAAAATGTATGAATATCATGGCTTTAATTTGGAAGATTATGTACTGACTTTATTTTCAACGGTATGCTTTGAAGCGAGTTCCATTTCATTTTTAAACCTTTAGGTTGCTTCCATATATCGTCATCAATCGTTGCGTGCTTCTATCAACGTGGTTGTAGTTAAAATTATAATATTAAAACATGAAAACGTGAGTACAATTGCTTAAATGCGTTATGAAGTATTTTTTCTTACAGCAAGGACCAGTAGTGTCGTCAAATGCGCAAGAAACTCTCCAAGGTTTCTGCAAATGGCAAAGCTTATATAATGAGCGGAATGATGAGAGCCCAACACATCACGATGTAGCAATTCTTCTAACTAGAGGCGATATTTGCAGGTATCTTTCAGCTCCAGTTACGTTCTTCATAATATATCTTCAGAGCCCCAGGCAAATGTGATACATTAGGTCTTGCTGAATTAGGAACTATGTGCGATTGGCAGAAAAGTTGTGCTATTATAGAAGATAACGGATTGAGTGCTGCATTCACAATTGCCCATGAACTAGGACACATGTAAGCTTTCGATAGTGAACCTTTGAGCTGTTTCACTGAAAATTTCTGTTTCTTCAATGAGATATATTTCTAGTTTCAATATTCCTCATGATGACGAAAGAAGATGCTCCCAATTCATGCATGTCACCAAGAGCAATTATCATATTATGGCTCCAACTCTAGAATACAATACTCACCCTTGGAGTTGGTCGGAATGTAGCAGCGGAATGTTAGAGAAATTTTTAGAGTAAATTCCAATTCCATCACTTAACTTAGTTTTTTGAATATTACAGTAACAATAGAGGCCAGATTCAATGTTTATTTGATCAACCAGTTCAAAGAAAGTATTACGAACAGCTTTTCGAAAGTCCACCACCTGGCCAGAAGTACGATGTCAACCAGCAATGCAAATTCGTGTTTGGTCCACAATCTGGACTATGCCCCTATATGGTACTTTATACATACTGTTTCAAACTGATGTTTTTTTCAGCCTACTTGTCGGAGACTATGGTGTGCAACCTATTACGGAACCCAAATGGGGTGCCGAACTCAACATATGCCCTGGGCTGATGGTACACCGTGTGACAAAACAGATCAACCTGTAATTATTTCGAAACAAAGGAGTAAAATAATGTATTTTTCTAGAAATACTGTCACAGAGGTGAATGTGTTGATATGTCACCAGACCGTCGTAGTCGGACAGATGGAGGTTGGGGAGAGTGGCAAACATGGGGACAATGTAGTAGAACGTGTGGTGGAGGAATTCAAAAAGCTTTACGTGACTGTGATAACCCAAGGTAAGTCGTACTTATCACAAAATGAGTGAACCGTACATATTGTCAGACCTTCCAACGGAGGAAAGTATTGTGTTGGTCTTCGAGAACAATACAAGTCTTGTAATACGCAAGAATGTCCGTGGGACACTCCAGGATTCAGGGAGGTTCAGTGTGCAGAGTTTAATAATAAGGTAGACTACAAACTCTAATTCTTTTAAACCAATTTTTTCAAGGATGTCGGAATACATGGCGTGTCTTCCAGTTCGGTTTGGGTGCCAAAGTATTCGGGAGTAGCTAGTAATGAAAGGTGCAAGCTTTTCTGTAGAATTAGTGGAACAGCCGCAGCGTATTTATTGAGAGATAAGGTTTTTAATAGTAGCCATTAAAGTCATTAAATGTTTCAATTGAAGGTGGCTGATGGAACTCCTTGTGATCGTAATGGTGATGACATTTGTGTGGATGGGACATGTATGAAGGTATGATAATCAAGACAACAAAAGTAGAATCACTAATTTAAGGCCGGATGTGACCATATTCTACAGTCGAATGTAAGGCGTGATCGATGTGGTATTTGTGGTGGTGATGATACTAGTTGTCGTGTGGTTAAGGGTACTTACAATGAACGTGGTTCTTTTGGATATAACGAGGTTTGCTACTATCAGATGGCTTTACTCAAACGTTTTTTAGGTCATGAAAATTCCGGCAGGTTCAGCTAACATTGATATTCGTCAGCACGGGTACAAAAATCAGAAAGATGATGACAATTATTTATGTTAGAACAGTGTCTAGTCTTTGTTTCATAGTTTTGTTTTTAGCATTACGAGCTGCAAACGGAGAGTTCTTGTTGAACGGTCACTTCCAAGTCAGTGTTTTCCGCCAACATATCCCTATTCAAGATGTTGTTCTCGAATACTCTGGTAGTGACAACGTTGTTGAGCGAATCAATGGAACTGGACCTATAAGGCAAAACAAAAGCTTTTTTAATTTTTATTTAATTTTTTCTAGATCAGATATCTATGTCCATGTATTGTCTGTCGGTAATCTCTACCCGCCTGACATCAGTTACGAGTACATGACCGCTGTTGAAACAAAGCGACGCCCACCAGTGCACGGATTCTTCTGGAGGCATGGTGACCGTTGGTCAGAGTGTGATCGTACATGCCAAGGATCTCAACGACAAGATATATATTGTGTCGATGCTATGACCAATAAGCAGAGTGGTGACAGAAATTGTAAAACCAGGAAGCCTGATCATAACACTCGTATGTGTAACATAGACTGCACTATCAAGTATGTTTGTGGATGTTCTTACTATCTAATATGTTGTTTGAGATGGCACACTGAGGACATATCCCGGTGTTCTGCACAATGTGGAGCAGGAGAGAAACGTTTACGTGTTCTTTGTGTGCGGCTTGACTCAAACGGTAGATCAAATCCTGCCAGAGAAACAGATTGCGATCGAAACACGTTCGTTTTCTTAGTGTTTTACTGGGATTAACCGATTGAACCTTTCAGTAGACCCTCTGAGCGTGCTTCATGTTATACCGACTGCTCTGGTCGCAGATGGGCTTACACCGAATGGACGCCGGTGAGCTTTCAGAAACATACTGTTATCAAATTCATATACAGTGCTCTGTCACTTGTGGATCTGGAGTCTCGACTCGTAACGCTTCCTGTCTTGATGATCGTGGACGCCGAATAGATGAAACTCTCTGTGGCTTGCAAACAGAAAAACTCATGAGGAATTGCGTCCAACACCCTTGTCCACGCTGGGTCTATGGTCATTGGTCTGAAGTGAGTAGTACAAAGAGAAAATCTCTTGAACAAAGAAGTCATGAAAACTGTGATTATTTTCTAGTGTTCACGCTCGTGTGATGGTGGAGTGCGAATGCGTCATGCACAGTGTTTAGATGCAGCTGATCGTGAAACAGATCCAAGGCGTTGTGAGCCAAAGGTAATTGATAAAAATTTGTTCATATTATTGATATTCGCATAGCACGACCGAGAAAAATGTAATGAGCATTTATGTACTAATTGGTCCTTTGGCCAATGGACGGCCTGTTCAGTTACTTGTGGCGTTGGAATACAAACCAGAGAAGCTAAGTGTGTTGATCGTGAAAATCGGTTACTGGATAACGGTATGAATACTAGTTTCCAATTAAACTAAGCTTTATTTCAAGGGAAATGCAACTACCGAGAGCGTATTGTTCAAAAACCGTGTAATCGGCCATCTTGTCCCACATGGAAAATTGGAGAGTGGACTACGTGCAGTGTAAGCATATATACTGAAGAGTTGGAAAATTGCGTGCTTTGAGGTTTCTTGTCAAGATGGGTGGTCAACGCGTCGTGTTACTTGTGCTGACTATCGCGGTCAAGATGTTCCTACTGAACAGTGTCAACAAGCTGGAGATAGACCTTCTTCGCATAAGCCATGCAACCAGGGTCCTTGTCCATTCTGGAGATCTGGAGATTGGTCATCGGTAAAGCTTTCTATAATCTGTGTATTCAATTGTGTGAGCTTTCAGTGTTCTGTCTCTTGTGGTAGCGGTGTTAGGCAACGAACCTCGGAGTGTGTATACAGAGATCAAGTTGTTGATCAATCGTTCTGTGGGGAAACAAAGGCGCCTGAACGAAGTCAGCAGTGCAGGTAATTGATTTTTTTTCGGCTACAAAATCAGTTCTCTCTTTTGTAGTTTGGTCCCATGTAGTAATTGGGAGATGACGCCATGGACTTCTTGCTCTGTAACCTGCGGGTCTGGTGTTCAAACTCGTGAAGTATTTTGTGCTTCAGGAGCAATGAGAGAACGTATGCATGATCAAATGTGTGACAAGGTATCGAGAGCTTACTCCAACTACAACCATTAAATTTTCTTCGTTACAGAAACTCAAACCACGCAACCAGAAAGTCTGTGAAAGAGATAGTTGCTCTTCTAAACCAGTTTATGTTGTTGCTCCTTTATCTGAAGTTCCAACTATCAGATGGGCCACTGGACCATGGACGCCTTGCTCGACCTCTTGTGATGCTGGCCAGCAGAAACGATTGGTATGCAATTTTCATAGTTTAACTAATCATATTTTTAGGTGAAATGTAGAGATCAAGTTAGGGATCTACCGGATGAGTACTGTCGACATATAGAAAAACCAGATGATCAACAGACTTGCCAACTTAAAGCTTGTGCTTATTGGAGGAGTGGGCCATGGCAACCTGTTAGTTCGCACTTCTGTTTCCCTGTTTATCTCGTTTTAAGTGCTCTGCTACATGTGGCTCTCACGTGCAACAAAGCAGAACAGTTCAATGCGTAGCTTACAATTCAAAGCAAAATGTGTCTGAAACTGATTGTGATGTTGCCCATCGACCGACAGCCGTCAAATCATGCAAGCTTGAAGCGTGTCCCCAAGGAGAGCCACCGTTAGGAAGATGGCGAACAGGAGATTGGGAGAAGGTTTTTTCTTTCTTTTTGACTTATAATTGCAATTTTTTCTCGCAGTGTACCAAAACATGCGGTGGAGGCTGGCGAAGACGTGCTGTATCATGCAGTGCAGGTGCCTGTGATGAGACAACCAAGCCGAGAAGCTTAGATTCTTGTAATTCTCATGTTTGTCCTGTCTCAAACAACACATGGCAAATATCTCCATGGACTCACGTAAGTTTGAGTTACAGCTCTTTTGTGAAAGAAATTCTCGAGCCGATAGGCTACTGCTTATTTTTTGTTTTTTTTTGTTTAGCTTTGCACGGCTTCCCACATACGCTCAACTTATTTTCAGTGCTCTGTTACATGTGGTGGAGGCGTTCAGCGTCGTCGGGTATGGTGTGAGGATGCTACAACGTTCGTCTCGAAAGAGGATGTAGATTGTGGAGACAAGAAACCTATAGAACAAAGAGATTGTGAATTGGCTCCTTGTCCACCTCGATTAGAACCAGTAACACCTCTACGTCCCGAATGGCAGACGTCGCCTTGGTCGTCGGTACGTCGTCCTTCTTCTCATCAACATCTACATCATCATCATCAGCGACGGAGACCGTTGCGTAAACGAACCCGAAGCCCATTGACCATTCCTGTCTAAAGATATTCATTTTTTTGAAAGCAACAAACTGCCCAGAATTTAAGAAATCAAAGCTACGGGAGGGGATGTTGGGAGACATATTGAAGCCGAATGAAAAGATTTTCAGTAGAATGAGAACGTTTCGTGTCTTCCTCAGCATTAAAATATGAATCAAAGCTTAGTGGAGCATAGGCATCTCTTGAAATTATTAGTTTCAAACATATTAGCAAGTTTTCTGACGCCTTTTTCTTTCAATACCAAATTTTATTGCCTCTTCTCTCGCCATTGCCAGGATCTGTCCAACGACGGAGTCTTGCTGCCCGAATTTAAATCCATTTTGCTCATTTTCAGCCTTAGGCGTGTAAGAGTTTTCCCCGTTCGAAAAAGACAAACTTTCTAAACACTTCAGATTTTTATTATCACAGTCAAAACGTCTCATACATATAAGCTAATCTCTGTGCTAATCATGGTGAATAACTGATTTCATGTTATTATCGCATTCACGTGTCCAGTGTCCAGGTTTAAGTGTCAACTCTTAACGTTTGGATGATGAAAATAGCGCTTTGAAACAGCTTGATTACGGTTTCTGAGCTTATTGCACGATCTCATCTAAATGTTATGAACGATTAAATACAAGCTATATCTCACACTTGCACATGCAACACAAGATCTGTTTTATATGTTTTGTTGTTTTGTTTGTTCTCTTTTTTATATTACTTTATACTTTCGGTTTTGCGATGTTTTTGTCAGCAAATCAACTGCAAGCTATATGTGGGATAATCAGTCTCCTATATATATATATGTGTGTGTAATCAAAATATAGCAAGCAGTTGATATAACGGTGGGTACATAATAATCAGCTGATGGATCTCTAATATGTCCTTGTCTCTGTGCAATTTATATGTATGTGTATGATGAAGATGACTTATTTATATAATTTCTGTGTTTTTCAATTCTTTCGACCTGCTTCAAAGCATCTCCTAATCCAGGTACATCCTTGAAGCTCTCAATGACCTGTTTGGGCTATGTTTTGATGGCAGGCAAGGAAATTTATTTAGAAAAACTGCACGGTATATACATTATCAGAAGAGAAAGCTAAAGTTCGAATGATTTCAATGTTGTTATGCACGTTTGATTGTCTTGTTTACATGTCGTATTTTGGAAGTGCATGTATAGACGGAGCACAAGTTCACAAGTAACTACGGACGGAGAAGAGATGGCATGTTCGGCAACTTGGTTGTCAATTTTACTTTTCTATCTCATAGTTCCCTTTCCATTCGCAGTTCTAGTATCTTTCTTTCATTCTTGCCTTCATCATGCTACTCTACCCGTCCAATATATTAATGTTATCGTAACTGAAAATCACAGCAATTGAAGCTAGTTGAGATTGGAAAGAAAGAGCTAGACCTACATATTCATCCAAACAATTGACTATAATTGCATGCATTGCACATGTGTCAGATCGAATAACAGTCAGATCGTCTTCATACTTATCCAGTTTTCACTCTCATATTACGCACTAAACTCTGCTATGTAATCCCCAAGAACATAACCGATAAATATAAAAGTAACAAGATGCAATAGTGTGTGTGGAGAACACTTCAAACAAATCCTCCCGGTGGTTGTTCTAGTATGCTTATACCTACCCCACATCCTGTTCATTTTGAGAACGTTGAAATACAAAGCTGATAGAGTAACTCGGGTTACAGTTATGGAACACATCTTCAGTAGAAATAAAGTCTTCTAGCTCTGAGCACTCTTAGAAAACCGCTTAGTTGAGACCCTCTCCTAGCTTAGTTCACACCCATAACCGTTTCAACCCTTTTCCAAACTTTTCAATTTCTTTTCTTCCTTTCCACTGCTTCTAATATAGCACAATTTCAATTAATATTTTAGTGTTCCGTCAAATGTGGAAGAGGAGTTCGGAGACGCTTAGTTGCTTGTGTAGACACTACAACTAACGCAGCAATATCTACAAGCCTATGTGATAAAAAGAAAAAGCCTTTGGAAGAGCACAAATGTCGTGTTATGCATTGTCCTCGATGGAGAGGAATGCCATGGGGGCCGGTTTGTTCTTTTTTCTTCACCTTCTTTTCATTTAACTTCATAATCTTCACAATTAATAATGCAATCACTTCACTACTTACACTCATCAGCAATTAGCCATAACAGAAATCACTTTTTGGGTTTTCATAGCTTTCAACGGGGGTATTTAAGTTGCAAAGGCGAAATTCACATATCATATTATTTCCAGTATAAAAATTTGCTTTTAATTGACTGATGCTTCAATAACCTAACTTTCTTTAAGTGCTCAAGTACCTGCGGAGCCGGAGTTCGTCGTAGAGAAGTGTTCTGCCAGCGCGGTCGGAGGCAACGAACCAATGAAACCGAGTGTTCTTCTGCTACCAAACCTCCAACAGAAGCGAAGTGTTATCAGCCTGCTTGCCCAGCATATAACTGGGTTACTACACCGTGGTCTAAAGTAAGCTTATCAATTACAAATATGTTTTATCGAGTCATACATGTTCTATCTTATCAGAATCAAATAACTCATCTCACAAATTTGGGGTAACTTTTTGATATAGGAGTGTATAGTTGTAGTTAGACGGCCATAATTGAGGCGTTAATAAGATTATGAGTAGAAAAGAGAAAACCACATCGCGTTCGTTCTAATAATTTATAATTATAGTGCCTTGATCCATGCGCCAAGAACCAACAACATCGTCGAGTTTATTGCATGAGTAACGGAGGTAAACGCGCAGCTCCTCGAATGTGCAATACTGAGAAAACTCCACCAACTACGCGTCAATGTGATTTTAGTCGTTGTCCATACGAATGGGCTCCAGGTCCATGGCAAACTGTAAGGAAGTCGTTTTAGGTTTTCTCTATACCCATTTGTTCAGTGTTCGAAAACTTGCGGTAATGGAACTCAAAGTAGGAGTATAGAATGCTTAGTTAAATCATCACAAACGTCTAATTTACTTTCTGAACATTCAGTTCCAAAGGTTGGAAACGAAGCCATTGTGAGAAACTCAAACAATCATCTCAATTTAGGGGAAATGTGAAGCTTTACCGATGCCGAAAGACCAACAGGATTGTAATCTTAATGCGTGTGAAGCTGAATACCAATGGCAAATCGGGCCATGGCAAGCGGTAATTAACTTGTCTAAGTGAATTTTGTTAATTAAATGAACATGTAGTGCTCTAAAACATGCGGACATGGAGTTAGAAGACGCAAAGTAAGATGCTTCCACAGAAATGGAACTAGGGTAGCAAAACAGAACTGTGAAGCTGTAAGCGTTCGTCCTAGACGTACACAGACATGCTTTGAAAGAAATTGTGAGTTTTCTTTTTCTTTCTTCTCGCGCTTATCGAAAAAGACCGTAATAATAATGAAAACAGAGAAAGCAACCGATTCGAATCTGCGTAATCTAAAGTGACGCCAAACGTCTCGCTCGGTTTACGTGAACTTCTGCGTGAAAAGCTCTGTAGTTGTTTACCGATAATCATCATCGAATGTATGCTAATAATACGAGATGCTAATCTTAAATCAATTAGTGAGCATTATAATTAATGAATTAGCTTAATCTTTCCCACTGTCACTTAACAATGTGTTTGTTAGAAGCAAAAGACTTCGGAAATTCGTTTAGCTTCCATCTCATGGATATGAATCTCTTTTTTTCTTTTATATGATGCACATAGAAGAGAAAGAAGTCACACAACTGAGAGTCAATTCAAATCCCTTTTCGTGGATGACTTTTCTCGAAGACTTTTCGGAAAGCGTCCACACACAGAGAGCTTCCTGTGTCTCTGTTGGCTTTCAACTAATCCTTTTTCGGCCCTCTAGCATGGCTGTCTGCTAAATTGACGCGAGAATGATTTTTGTCAAAGTCAAATATATCTAGATTGATCTCTTCGAGCACAATCGAACTACAATAGAGAAAAAACAAAGCGAACAAATAATTGTATTAACTTTTCAGGTTTACCATCAACATGTCAAGAAATTCGAAGTCAAGCCAAGACACCGTCCACTGATGGAAATTATACCGTCTTACTAGATGGATTCCCTATCCTCGTTTATTGCCATAGAATGAACGAAACTATCCCAGGAACTTACATCAATATACATCCAGATTCCAATTTCGCTGAAGTTTATGGAAAAAGGTTAGTTTTGTTGATATTATTGCGAAATTTTCATGTTACTTTATAGATTGATATATCCTCACACATGTCCGTATAACGGTGATCGTAATGATTCCTGTCAGTGCTCTGAATACGGTGATGCGCACGCTGGCTTCACCCGTTTCTCAAAAATCCGTGTGGATTTATTGAATAGAAAAATAAAAAGTATACCTTTCAAACAAAAAAAGATTTTTCAACTTTCACTTTCAGTTAATGATTTCACATTTGCCAAAACCATCAATGGTTCGCATGTCGAGTATGCCACTGCCGGTGACTGCTACAGTATGAAAGATTGTCCTCAGGTATTGCTGTCTTTTCGTTTTGGTTGTAACTTCGTTTTTGTGTCGTTTAGGGACGTTTTTCTGTGGATTTAGTTGGTACAGGTTTAAGAATAGTAGACGATTTGCAGTGGGAAGACAAAGGACATCGAACTACATCCCGCATTGATCGAACCTCTGTATGTTGAACTAATTCAGAAGCAAACATTGCGACAGAGTGAGAGAGTTGTGAGATAAAAATGACTGTAAATGCGAGAAGAAGTGTGATTGCGATACATTGGCGTTTAATAGGAAGCTATTAGAGTTCAGAAGAACCTCTTAGAAACATATACGAATGGAAAAGATGCATCATTTCATTTTTCAGAATAATGCACGTGTAGAAGGTCGATGTGGTGGTTATTGTGGTAAATGTTCACCGGATAAGTATAAAGGACTTGTATTCGAGATTGACACGAAACAAGTTCAACCGTTTGTGTAGTCTTTCTTTAGTTGTTCCAACCAAAAAAATTTTTCCTTCACAACCTTTTCGCTTCATATTGTCTGTGCTTTTATGACATGCTTCTAGCTCTTTATCCTTCATTCTTTCTCAATCTATCTCTTTCAAATCCTAAAGAGTCATCTAATCTTCAAAACCCTGTTATTAACGTTGTATCTCCCTCATTCATTTATAAAATAAGACCTAACACCTTAAGCTGATGGCGTTTTACTGGTACTATGTTTTGTTCTCATCATTGAATTTCTCATTCATATGTTCCAATTTATATTAATATAATCAATGATTTTCAGAAAATTCCTTTTTAGATGTTTTAAACATTTTTTTTCTCAATTTTTCTTTTCATTCATACAAGCTTCAAATAGTTGTTGTTTGTATAAAATGCATAATTTAAGAAATTAAATTTAAAAAACAGATCCTATATGAATAGCTTTATTATTTAACTTATAAGTTGCTAAATAAATATTTTCTTTTAACCGGTTCAATCAACTGCAGCCTTCAAGCTGTCCTCTACAGGGCGGAACTGCGCTCTATTGACAAAATGTGCCACAACTCGAATGCTATGACTCCGAATGGCTTTGCTTCATATATGGCTGGCATAGCGCTTCTCTCTTGGAAGATAACTAAAAATCAGCTTTCTTTCCGTTATTTCATGCTAGGCGTTCTTTTCTCTCTAGAATATTCTTCTTTTTATCTGCTTCGTGAACAATAGTCATTTTAAATATAATAAAGGAACTCTATCCCTATTCAATATTCAACATCAAAAATAAAAATTCTGTCTCTGCATTCAGAATTTTAGATTGGAATGTCTAATTTTGAGCAATACACAATTCTAAGAATCATTCCACGTTGTTAAAAACTTAATTGGAAGCAACAACCGTTCTTGCACTGCTTTGAAAAAAAATTGACGCGAACGACCGCATTCAAATTAGCGTTGGAACAAAATGCGTGAAATATTCTAATTCCGCTATTATTGATTGTTTCAAGAACAGTTAATATACTTAGGACGTTTGCTCTATTGTTCCTTTTACTTCTCACAACAGCTTTTCCATACTTATGGCTTCATTAGTTTCCTGGGACATAATCTGAATGGCATAATGTGAAGCAGCTCATCTGTGTTGAGGAAATCAATAGTAAGGCGTGATCCCTGCTGTGTCCCTTGAACTATAATTGTCTAATTAAGCATTTGCACTATGCCAACCCTTAGACTTAGCTTAATGAAATGTTCTCCTCACTTTATTTTCATTTCCGGTCAATATCTTACTCAAGCTTATCTTGATCTTCATCAAATAATTTTTCATTACAAGTTCTCCGATTTTCTCAGTTTTATGTTTCATTATTCACTCTGTATAGTTCCCTCTCTCGAAATGGAGAAGTATAACTCTTTACCAATTCGAGAACTTCATACTCAATATATTAAAAGAAAAAGCCCACGAGGCAAGTGAAGAGACGCGTCGATTTCCTTGTGGGACGGGATTAGCTGGGTTTGGCATTGTTTTCAATGTTTATGGCGTTGGTGGTGCGCGGAAGAAGTTATGTCCTCTTATATCTTTCTTTGCGTCCTCTCATTTACTCTTTACTCTTTCTCTAAATATTTGTTTTGAGACGAAGGGACGTTGAAAGTTCGCTCTTTCTGTGGTGGACTTATCACCGCTAGTCGAAACTTCCTCAGCTTCTCACAAGAATTTCCACTTGAACAATCCTTCAATTTCGTTCGAAGTCATATAGCTAGCAACATGTTGCATGTGTCTACGAAGAAAAACAGCCTTTGTCAATCTTGTCAGTCTAATTGAAAAAGTTTTTTTATCATACTAGCTGACTGCTTGAGTTGAATGTCACATCTGTCATTTGGTTTCTTATTAGTTGTTCCACACTCCTTACATCTTGTTGCACTAAATGTTAGTTTATATCCTAGCCATTTGTTTATGTGTCACTTGTATGACTTCCTCTGTCACATTTCTCCTTAACGTATTAGAAGCGTTCGTTTTTCTTCACAACATCCGTACAATACGTTCTGTTTTCAAATGGTTCTCAAACATCTCTTTTGATTCTTGTTGTTCTCAGGGATTGCCTTACAATTACTAAACAAGTTTTTTATTCCCTCTACAGAGCCTTCACGAACTCAGTTTCGTTCACATCTCATATCTCCCAAACGCTCACACATCAAATAGTTGTATGTATGTTTTCTTGCCCTCCTATGTTCACCTTCACGATTTGTCCTCATTCTTATATTCCACTCTTGATTATTTACATTTGGCATGTATCATCTCTAGGACATCCTTCATATAGCTGTAGTCTTCAAAGCCGAATAATTATCTGTGGTCAACCGATAGCTCCACCTTCATAGCAATTTCAATCTGCATCGTGTGTTTGATTCAGTTCTATATAACCTCCAATCATATGTTGTGGTTAGCAGGTTGTGCATTATGCTGTCTGGTCTTTCATCCATCTTATTAACCTTCTCTTTTTCTCTCTTTCTCTCTCTCTTTATACATATATCTATTTCTCCCTATTGCATTGTCTTTTTGTATCTGCCTTGTTCTATCCACATTAAGCCAACTAACCAAGTGATTTGCTTTTTTCAATTCCCCGTTCAACAATATATTTGTTGGATGTTTCATGCTGTTCGTGTCTTACTGATCTCTTAGTCATTACATAAACAACCAACTGCCAATATCTGCAATAACATTATCAATTGTCTTCCTCTTCACATATCTCCAGATTTTTTCTGAACTACATAACTTCTTGCAAACAAAAGATCTTTTGTTCCTCCATGGATATTCATGCCATATTTTATTGTTGACAATATGATGTCTTATAAGCTAATTTATGTCCTCATCTGGTGGTCCTCAAGTGTGCGAACATTCACTTGAATTGAGGCAGCGATGAATTCATCGATCGCTGGCCGTGCGAACCTCTATTCCATTAGTTCCTTCACCACACTCCTGTGTGTCCTTTCCACTACCCATACATCCTCATCATTTTGGTGCTCAACAATGAAATTTAAAGATTCTCATTTAATTTATCTTTTCCTTCAACATTTCTCTAACGTTTCACTTGGATGTCTTTCTCTTTCTGATCACAATCGTGTTTTACAATTTGTTTTTTTTATGAAGTACACGTTGACGCTTGCTGTCTTCTCCTCCCCTCAATTTATCTTCCCAACCCTCTCACTTTACTCATTTAACATTCCCAATCGTTTCCTTTGATTTTCTTCTATTTAACACTTGTTCGAAAAATGACATTTCTCAATTTCCTCTGTGGCTTTCGTTTGCATCCTATGCGTTTCTTCTAGATTTTTTCGGCCAGCAGTTCAGAACATCTGTTAGAAGATTGTTCTGCGGCGGTCACTTTTCGGGTTCATCAAGTTGAAACCTGACTAGTCATGATGACCAGCTGGTTACAAGAGCCGATGGAACCCATTCCTGAAGAGGGAGAGGAATGGGTTGTACCAAGCTCGGGTAATCGCAAAACTGTTCGAAAACGGGAAATCTTCACCTCTGAGCAAGTCGATACGCTTATAAGGTATACAATGGATAGATGTGCTACGTTTCAAATAATTATTCTTTCTGTTGTGATTGTGTTTCTTGCTGGTAGTAGTGTGAAGCATGTGTATTTCGATAGTGTGCTTATCTTTTAATTCTCATCGCGTTTGAGTTTGGAATATTTAAACTTCAGTTTGTCACCCTTCTCACATTTCTATTTACTTCGTCGTTCTTGATATGCTTAAGCTGATTTTCTGTTAACCTATTGCTGTGACAAGTTGAGGACTGTGTCTTTAAATGGTTTGACAACCAAGCACAGTATTTACTATGTGGACTTATTGATATTATGCATTATCAGTTTGCTCAGTCTTATCGTGAAGAACTCAACATTCTGTGTTCCTAGCGCTTTGGCATACAAATGCATATTTGGTTATATTATGGATAAGAAGCCTTCTCCATATTGTAGACAAAGTTCTTTTGTGCATGCTATCCCTTAATCGAATTGGGATTATTCGTTGTGTTGTTTGCTGTGCTTTTAACATTAGTTGGAAATATTTATTTCTTCAATTAGTTCGTTTTCTTTTCCAGTACAGTCCCGAAGGATACAGTTCCGGCTGATTGGATTGTGGAGAACGAAGTCATTGATCCAGAGTGAGTCCCTCAACTGTTAGCAAATTAGGCAATCACGTGAATTGTCAAATAATTTTTTCTTAAAACTGTACATTCCGACGAAAAGGTTTTTGCTAAATTGTGAATGGGAAATGGGATGAATCAGAAGAAGTGATTCATTTGCTATTCATCCCCCACGCAAAACGTTCATACAACAGAATATACAACATGCGAATTGTATTAGAAACCTTTCCCTTTTTACTTGTCGCAGTTCCATATTTGTATTTCAGAATGGCTTCTTCTTACATGACAGAATCTCTGGCTGGACCTCATAGCGCAAGAGGAACAACGTTTTCATATACCTATGAATCCCACTATGACAACCCACCGGAAGAAGATGAACAGGCTGCTGATGGATCGGGTACACATCAAACCCATAAGGTAATCTTTTTTTTCAACCTAACGAAATTATCGGATCAGTTGCATCAAACTGTTCATATTATGTTTCATTCTAAGTATTTATAACCGGTTACAAAGAATTATGTTCAGGTTACTAAAGTGACAAAGGTCACTACGACCCGCAGCGTTCGTCAGATTCCAGTTGGCTCTCCTTATGGAGATTTGTATTTTGACAGCTCTGGGCTTCCTACTCCTTCTCCAGTTGTAGAAATAGATAATGCAGTAGAAGAACTAGGAATAAGGTTTCACAAGTTTTAGAACTAGTTTAGAAATGCTTATTTCAAGGTTACGTAACACTCTTGAAGAGCGTGGGGCTCCTCCACCTGCTCCACCTGTTGGTAGCCGGTATGGAAACGTTCCGGATGGTTAGATATCGAATAACATTGAATAATGATATTTCTATAAATCAGATTCTCAAGTTCCCGGTGAACCAGATGCTCCCAGTATCATTCAAATGGGTTTAGGAGAAGTAACTATTTCTTGGAGTCCTCCAATTCATGGTAGTGCTCAAATCATTGGCTATCAGGTAGGTCCAAAACATAGTGACAATATCGATATATCTTCAAATCATCAGATTGAGATGCGGGATGTACCAAATGGAGATTGGGAGCGGGCCCATGATCAATTGCTGAGAGAAACAACATGTACAGGTTGGTATTAGCTTTTGTTTTACCGCTTATCATCCCACATTTTATGAACCTAGTATAGCTATAAGCATGTAAAGATTATTCGCAATAAAGAGAAAGAAAGAAAGTATGCTAATGTTTGATAATAGTGGGGAGGAAAAATTGGCGTATAGCCGGGAGCCATGCTCTACTTTTGGAGAAAGTTGTTGGGTTTTCACACCTAAAAGGGACAATAGTGTATACAACGGTTATATTTATATATGTTGTAGTCCGTACTACTAGTTGTCGAGTCGTTAGACGTAGATTAGAATCGCGTACCCTGGAGCGACATCTTCTTGTCGCCAACTTCGGTGTGTTGACCTTGTCGGGTCTTGTATGAGCGAATGTGTATTCGCAAGTGCATTCTTTTCTCAACGACTCCAATCATTCTTGTCACTAATCCATAATGTCAGAAGACTTGTTAAATATATTCCATTTTAATTTGAAGCGAAAGCTTCTACTTCGTCAGTTTATTCTGGATTTTGATCCTTGAAAACTATCTCGACCAGTTATTCTCGTCTTAGGATACCGTCGCCTTTTCAGTTTTTCTTCAAACATTTTATCCCGTCCATGACGGTTGTACTAATTTCATTTCACCAGTTCTGTTTAGTTTCAATTCGTATATACAAATCTCGTGTATTATAAGAGTACATTTTGAACTTTCCTTCTCCCTTGGTGACTAAATAGTAGCTGTGATAAATGTCTTTTCACTCCATATATGGTTGCACATTCTGCTGTGTCATATTTATGCTCGCATTCCACATGGCCCGTTGGGAGGCTATTTTGAACCATAAATTCGTCCTTCTTCGAGAGCCTGAAGGGCATTTTAAAACGAAAGTACTCGATGAAAGTGATATCATAGGGATTTTAGAATGGCATAATTAGGGGGGCAACATTTTTTATTAGAGATTGATTGAAAATAAAAGTTCTGCGCGCGCCACTTACATACAAATTGCAGTAATCAATACTTTCTTTACCTAACTATGTTTTTTTTTCTAAAAAGTTCTACCTTGATTCTTATCAGCCTATTTTAAAAATTCTTTTTAAGTAACGAATCTGGATACACTTGGTGAAATTCAGTTTCGAGTTTCTGCTGCCAGTCGAGACGGATTTGGACCTCCTTCCGCTGCTTCATTACCTGTGAAAGTTCCAATGGAATATGGACATGTGCCAGTTGGAAGTGAGTCGAATTGAACCCATTCACTCAAACGTTTGATCTTTCAGCTTCAAGTGTCCCTTCACCACCAGGGAAGCCCAGTGTGATATCAGTGGACGGACACCGAGCCACAATCCAATGGGCTGCTCCCGTTGTCACTTCCGAGACATCACCTATTGCTGGATATCAGGTGGGTTCTAAGAGAAAATTTGATTTATCTTCTTTCTTAAGGTTGAGTATAGAGCGTTTGGTGCTGCTGACTGGATGATTGCTAATGATGAACTTATTAAAGACAATATTTTCACATGTATGTTTTTTCGCTAATCGCTCCAATATATAATTGCGCTTGTTCAGTCGACAATTTGAGACCTAATGGCGTTTATGAGTTCAGGGTTAGAGCTAAAAGCGCTGATGGTTTGGGTTTACCTAGCAAGTGAGTGTACATTTCCTTTTTACTCTGTTAACAAGTATTCTTAGAAGTACTGAGCCTATTCATATCAAACCAGCAGCTCCACAAAGAGGAATTTCATCAAGGACGACTACAAGTGACATTAGGCCTCCGGGTCAGCCTCAGGTTTGCTTGATTTGTACTGAGGAATGTGTGTTAAAACAGTTTTTCAGTTAGATGAGGCTGATATGGATTGGGTTAAGTTAGAATGGTCTGAGTCTTCTCCTGGTGCTGGATATATAGTTGAATTTCGTGAAGTGGGAGACCCTAATTGGTATATCGCTAATCCACACCCAATTACTCAAAACTGTATACAAGGTTAATCGTATAACTTTTTTTTTATTATTTGTGTTCGATTTCAGTTGAAGGACTTCGACCAGGGTCAACATACGAGTTTAGAGTGATCAGCGTTGTTGGTAACTCTGTCTCCGAACCTTCCGAAGTTTCCGATGTCATTGCTCTGAGGCCGCTTTGGAAATGTAAGCTCTGATTTTTCTTATCTGCTATGGTTATCTTAATTATTAGCATCCGGTGTGAAAGGTGCTCCAGAGAGACCACAAGCTCCCGAATATCTCGAGATCGATGGTGACCGAATTACAATCTGTTGGCTTCCAGCGCTTAGTAGTCTTCCCGTTTTGGTTTGAAAACCATTGAATTTAATCGATATACATTTGTTCTGTAGGGTTATGATGTAGAATTTCGAGATTTTCAACAAGACGTCGGCTGGTATAAAGTTAATGATCAACCCGTTCATGCTTGCAAAATGACAGGTAACTGCTAATTTAGTAGATTAAGTTTAGTTCAATTTGTAGTTGGCGATCTTATTGATGGACACGATTATCAGTTCCGCGTACTCGCTCACAACGTAGTCGGATGTTCGGAGCCTTCCGAACCCTCTAATCCTGTTACAATCAAGCCATCGCCAGGTAATTCAAAGAAAATTTCTGTATAAACATCATCTGTATAGGAGATGCTAAGTTTGTGGAAGCAGAAAGATTTGGAGCTGTTAAACTGTTGCAAGAAGAAATGATACGCGAATCTCCTCCATTACCGGAACGAGATGACTCTCCTCCCCCGCTCAATCGTCATCCTCATAACAGTGGCAGTCGTTAGTATCGTTTTTCCTACATTTGATAACTTTTTTATTTATAGTTCAATGGCGTGATCCCACTTTGAAAGAAGTAATAGATTATCTAGATAGTCATGATAGTCATAAACAGCTCAATGCTAGTGGATTTTTACAGCATTTAACATACTCTGATGATTTAGTGAAAGATGAGACTAGGTAATGTCGTTTAAAAAGTCTTTCTTAAACTTGAGACTATCTCAGAGAGCTTGGCGGAATCCCCAAACTCATTCATCTTCTAAAGCATGAAAATCCTGCAATCCAAAGGAACGCTTGCGCATGTATTAAGAACTTATGTTTCCGTAGTGTCAACGATAAGAACAAGGTTTACTTGAAATGTTTTTTTTTCTAACTTTTTTCCTATAGTTTGCTGTTCTGGATGCTGATGGTGTACGATTATTGGCTGCATTACTCCAAACAACGCATGACAATTCTGTCAAAGAAGAATGTACTGCGGCTTTATGGAATCTGTCTTCGTCAGATATGTTGAAACCGGCCATATTGAAATCCGCAACGGATGTTCTTGTTCAACAGGTAGTTAATCGAATGAAACTTCTCAATAACTGATACAAAATGCAGGTTGTTGTACCCGGTGCTGGATTCCACCAAAATGGATTAGTGACGGGAGCAAATGGTGATCCTTTGAAACACTATAGCAGTTTATTATTTAAAAATGCAACTGGTGTTCTGAGGTGAGATTAAAAAAATAAGAAAAACATTTCTATACTTCTGTTCAGGAACATTTCTGCGTTCAACACTGATGCTAGGCGACAACTCAGAGTTGTTCCAAACCTCATCGAAGGGCTCGTTCACTTTTTGACCATTGCAATCGAAAGAAATCAAGCTGACTCAGAAACTGTTGAGAATGTCGTTTGCATTCTTAGGAATTTGAGTTATCGGTCAGCTAAAATTTCCTTATGAAGATAACGTTTTTTTTATAGCATTCAAGAAGTAGAAGACCCAAATTATGATCCTACCGTGGCGCACAATCAAAGCACGAAGAACAGTAAATCAGCTCCCAACAGCCCTAAACCCAAAAAGAAAGATAAGAAAAAGAAGAATACTTCAAATGAACCAGTCACGGTATGTTTATTCATCTCATTCGAATTTGTACCCTGGCTTGGCCTTTCTGCATAACACAACAACTGTTTGTGCAACGTTTCCTCCTAGCTGAACGTTCTCAGCACCCTCGAAACCAGCTGAGGCTTTCTCATTGCGAACATCACATTTTCCAAGAATTTGCTTCCCATTGAATGATAAGACAGCTGGGGAAATGTCACCTTTGACGTTGTTGACATGCACAGGATGCCATACTTTTTCTGTGAAGACAGAAGCCTATAAGAATAGCTTCTGTTATGGCTTTCCCGGTTTTTTTTTACCTCTTTGAACTTGATCCATTCATAGTCGAAACCTCTGACATGATCAGGCAGATTGATGAGTATTTGTATTGATCCCACATTTTGTCTATACTCCTTGTTCATCCAAGCAAAGCAGGCAGCCACACATCCATTTTCGTTCCATACACGTCCCATGACAGGTTCTCCAGCCATATACCAGAGAGCCACAAACTGTTCAGGGTTTTCTCCCGGGATTGTGTCAAGCTTTTTATTCAGAGCTTGAACCAGCTGCTTCTGAGGCCAGGGGTCTCCGACACGGAGATCCATCCATTCATCTAACATTGTTCTACAAAAATAGTGTCTTCGCTATTTTTTTCTGTTTATCCCACCTTGGCGGTGGTGGACCCGCTTTCACTTTGGGGCATTTAGCACAATCGCAGAATGGTGGTCCTCCAATATAGTTTCTCATGATGATGACCATATCATTGAGTTCTCCTCCTTGTTTTTGAATAACTTTTCCTTCCCAGGAAAAGTAAGCGACTTCGGTTTTGTTGTCAAGATAACCAAGCACCACTCCCTATGAAGAAGCGCTGTGAAACTTTTAAAGTACTCAACTAACTTCTTTACGATCTTTCCATAATATCGGCGACGAATCACCACATTTCAGCAATCCCCGTCCTTCTTTTTCAAAACGATTCTTATACAATACCCATTCGTACCAATATCCTTGAGTGTTATGATCTCCTTCATATTGAAGAATCTTCAATATGAGATATTTAGGGTTAGGCCTCTTGTGATTATTTTTTTACCTGTATTTGGCCTTCGAGTTGTTCTTTTGTTTTTAGCTCTGTCTTATTATAAGGGAATGAGCATTCAACGACTCCACCGTTATTCCAAGCTCTTCCGTGAATTGGTTTCCCGTGTTTATACCAAAGAGCTACGTACATGTTTTGTTGACCCAAACACTATAGCAAATTCAACCTTAACTGCTGTCTCAAAGAGTTCATTACCTTGACTGGGTTTGGGGGAAAAGGGGACCCAATTGGCTGGAATGCCCAAGAATCTTCTTTTGCTGGGGGGTTTTTGACGTCTGTCATGTTTATTCAATGAACTTGACTTACAGTTTTCCAACTTATATACGACCGTTCACGTGAAAGTTTCACGTAGAATTTTTTCGTTGTTTTTCTCCATGACGTGGCATTTGATCAATTCTAATTTTTCATATTTTCAGGGACCTGCTTTGTTATGGGATCCACATGCAATAAGGTTATATTTGAAAATTCTTCAGGAAGCGTCCAATTGGGAGACATTAGAGGTGATTCTAAATTGAAAAAACTTTTTTTATTCGTTATTAAGGCTGCCGCCGGTGCCATTCAGAACTTAGCTGCTTGTCAGTTTACTCCCAGTGTGAACGTAAGAAGTACTGTTCGGGTAGAGAAGGGTCTACCCGTGCTCGTGGAGCTTATTCGTCTGAAGGAAGATTATGTTGTATGTGCCGTTGCTACAGCGATGCGTAACCTCGCGTTGGATGCTCGTAATAGAGAGTTGATAGGTATGGTATAAATGTTCAAATTGTAGCTGTAATTTCATTATTCTAGGGAAGTATGCCTTACGGGATTTAGTGAATAAACTCCCTGAGCCTTCGAAACCTAGACCTCAAATAAGTGATCAAACCATTGGAGCTATTCTAGGAATATTATTCGAAATAGTTAAAGATAGTGCCGAGTATACCAAAAACTTACATGAGATCAAAGGTACGTTTTTCCAAGTGTATGCGATTCAAAACAATTTGTTTCCAGGAACTCTGAAGCTTCGTCATCTTGCTCGAAGTTATCCAACATACTCACAAAGAATATGTCGCCATGCTAGTCAAGTTCTTTATATTATGTGGCAGCATAAGGAGCTTCACGATGGTTTCAAGCGTAGTGGAATGAAAGAGGCGGACTTCTACGCTGGACCTGCTAGAAGGTAAAAAGCCAATCCAGATTTTACTAACGTATATTAATTGTAGAGGAGACTCTTCTACCTTAGCCCGACCCATTTCGAGCCAGGGAAGGGAACGACCAGCACAAGCATTATTAGATGAAACAACGAGTAGTGGAGGCTATGGAGCCTTGAATGAAACAACACAGGTAAAACTCCATAAAATATATATGTTACTATTTTGTTTTAGCATTCTCGAGCCATTCCCCCACAACGCTTCGACCATTATCAAATGAGTGATGATAGGTCACCGGTTCAGAGAACAGAACCTCTCTATGCCTCTGTTAGAAAAGGCAATGCTTCTACTACAGTTGATGATAGCTGGGTTTAACGCCCTTCATAAACTTTCACCATTTTAAATCCCTCAACGAATCCGAGCTACGATGCCAATGTGCGTGCATGACAAATTTTAACCCCATCCTCATGATCGTGTAAAAACCCAATCTACTCATCTTTTTTAGAACTTAGTTTTATCTTCAACTTCATTCTGACTTTTATAACCGGTAATAGTTGAACTGTAAGCTCTTATCGATTTGCACGTTTATTGTATATACAAGCTGTTCTCAATTTTTAATTTATTTTTCTAATACTCTTTTCACTTATTACTTCATTCGAATCAGGTCTTATTTTTTATCGTAACTTTTCAAATACTATGTAATAGCTTTCCAATCACTGTAATCTCAAAGATATTACTATAAACCGAGAGAATAATATAGATTATTAACTTTCTGAAGACTTTCACAAATTCGTTATAATATTAATAATAGTCGTTTTCATTTGCCGAGGCAATAAAAATATAATTTTTTTAATCTCACAACTGTTGTTCTACGTGTTACAATTCAAATATACTTTCGCATATATAGCGATTATTGATTTTTTTGAATCTTTTCTTCGGCGTTCAAATCCTATGCTAATTAGATGTTTTAAACATTCTTCGCGAAGCAAGTCAATATGAGTACTGATCTGAATTCAAGAATGCCTAAAGCTTTTCTGTTTCAGTTGAAATCAATCGTTTCAAGGAAAAGTAATGAGCGACGATTCTGTAATTGTTGATATTCGGGTTCCGGATACAATCGACCTTGTTCTATTCGAAACACTCAAAGCTGCGAACGCTATCAGAGATGCAAATAGGTATGCATGTTCTCAGTTAACTACAGTAAATTGGATATAGACGACGTGAAGAACAGTTGAAGTATCAAGAAGCTGTCAAAGTCGAAGAACCGGACGATTACCCCGTTGAAGCAATAGCAAATGATGAGCCTGGTCCATCTACATCTACAGCTGAGCAGAACGAGATCCCGGAAAATGAGGATTTCATTTCGTACGCTATGAGAATGATAAGAACCTCTGCTCAAGACCCAAATTATGACAAGCAAATGGCTAAGAAGCGTTTGGAATTTCAAGGTTTTTCACTTTTGGTGTTTTCTTTAATACAGCCCTTTTCCAGAAAAAAATGAGAATAAACCTATCAAGGCTAATGGTTTTGTGAAAAATTCTTTGGCAGATGCGAACAGGGAATACGAGTTCGAAAAAAAACTCAGAACTGACACTCATTTAAGGGTATGGTATAATATGCATCTTCAAACTGAGTAGTAGCTTTTAGAGATGTGCTGCTCAAAAATATTTCTCTGATAAGACCCGAACTCAAACGGTTTTCGATGAAAGTCTGATGCATAACCTTAAGAATCCGATAATAGCTTCTGTTTACCATGGTAACTGCGAAGCGTTTTTTGGATATATTTCTAATTGCCCGCAAAGTGGCATGCGTATGCCTGATAGGGTAAGTATTTTTCTCAATTGCTGTTGATAAGACTTTGTTTCTCTCAAGAGCAAGTGCTTATGTTTCACCAGCTTCTCTCAAGCTGGTGATAATGCCATTCTTTTGGCATTGTCTTCTCACTTTCATCAGAAACAATGTGATGGAAATGGTGACTGTGGTCGAGTTTCATGCAGAAATGGTAATGATTATCTGGAGGTCGTTTGTTTTAATTTTATTTTTTAAACTAATTTATACCGTTTGAAGATAATTCGAAGGCTTTTCGAAGGAACTAATAGGAACTATCATATAAAGGTATTTATGAATAAAAATAGCATTTTCTGGGCTTTTTTAAGGAAATTGTTTCTTCATGGATGGTATCTTGCCCAGCTTATGCTCTATTGTGCCCGCTGAGTTATTGTTTGTGTGAAGGTACTTGGTGATGAAAAATTGATAGCAAAGCTTGTTAAGGTTTTCTTGATGTATTCGAAATGATGATCAAACTTATCAAAAACGCAGAATTTGCTCTACAAGATTACCGGTTAGCATTGACTCGATCACGCTCTTACGGCGGTATGGTTTTCTTTTCATAAGAGTTGAACTTAAATATTTTCTTAGTAGATTTAGCCGAGGAGGCCATCATCCATGGTCTGACATCACACGTGGAGGCTTTTTACAGTAATTGGTCGGAAGCTCTAATGCGCGTCAACTTTGAAAGAGTTTGCCAGAGCGGTTTTTTTTGGCGTTTGTAATTTGTTTAATCATATTATCTTTTAAGGACGGTTGGACGCTGTTATGTCTATTATGAATAGGCATAGAAACAATGAAAGATTAATGAAAGATCTCAGAAAGATGACCTTCACACAAGACCAACCTAAATACGTAATATTTCTATTCATCTTTCGTTGTTCAGAAAAAAACTTTAAGCTCGATATAATATTGAAGCCTACTGCGAATAACGACATGGTTTCTTTCTTCAGTCAAGCCTGTCTTCAGGGAGCTGAAGTGAATTAAAAACTTTTGTCGCTTTTTAACATCCATGTTCAGAATTGTTTGAGAACTATGCAGAGTAACGAGTTCTGGATGGCTGAGATCTTCAACCCGGAAAAATGCAAATATAGGACAGGAATGTTCGAGGTGCTTCTGAGAGTTTCTCGAATTTGCGATAGGTAAGATTACATATCAAGCAAATAATTTATTATTTATTAGGGAGTTATTCAATCCTGTTAAAGAGTTCGTTCTTCATTCACAAGAGTTCAGTAATTTCCCATTCTCTTGCAACGTTCCGGATTTACTTTTCCACCTGGCTTGCTCTAGATCATGGAGAGAATTCACAGAATGGTTAAAGCGACTTGATGCTACTAAGAAGGTGAATTCGTATGAGTACAGTTTAATCAAGCAGTTTCAAGAATAATCAAAAATACGCAAAAGCTCAAGAATATTTGAATCTGTCGTTCCGTTACTTCGTTTTCTCTACTCATTTCCCTCAAAGAGTTTTGCGAGTTATTTTGGAAACTCTTATTTCTGCTGGTGCTTATGTGCAGGTAATCTGATTTTCATTTTTCTCACTCATGCGGTTAAGACTGACGATTATGATTATGCGTTGTTGAACGAATTGCAGCGGAAAGATTTCTGGGATTTTTTGAAATATAAGGTAAGTCAAATGTATTCGTGTGCTTTGAAAACTTGATATCATACCAGGAGAGCTCCAATACCAGATTTGTCGTAGATCTTGAAAATGAGATGTCAAAGTTAACTGTTAATGAAAATCCACATCATGGAACCAGAAGAACTGAAGGTGTTACGCCTTGTGCTCCTGGAATGCCGAGATTGAAAAGACCTCGACTGTGCTGAAAACACACTATTGAATAAAATCTTAATTTTTTCATTACCTGTATAGCATTAAAGATAATGTATTTTCCGAGTTGTTCGAGTGTGTGGTTAACCCCCTATTGTTCTTTCTCTCCGTGGTTTTATTTGTTTGTTCTTTTAGAAGTTTTTGAGATTTCTGCAAGAAGGGGCTCTTCCGGTATTGAGCACGCAATGCACCATATACGAAGGAAACGGCAACGAAGAAGCGCTAATTGACTCAATGTAAGTTAATGTTATAGTGTATCTCCTTTCGTTTTCCCGAAACAACTCAACAAATGTGAATACCATGAAAGAAGCTCGTTTACGTCCTAGCTACTTTCCGTTATACGGTCGTTAGACTTCCTGTCTTTCCTTTACTGGTCACGAATCGCCTTCAGTGCTGGTGCATGTGATTTTCCTCTATCTCGATCTGTTCTTTTGTTAGTAGTCTGTCCGGATATCAAGGCTAAGCGGAAGCCGACATAAGAATCTCTGATTTACATGACATTCATGTTACCGAAAGTGGAAAGCCAATGTAAGCCTTATTACTATCCGGCAGAAAACACGCAATTACGAATATACAGATGAGATGTGCTTTATATGATCATGTTCTGACAAATTACTTTGTTGGTGGTCTGTCGTTTGTACCTGTTGTTATATACATCAGCGTGTGAAGGATTTGTGGTGATTCTTCAGCTTAGAAGAGATACACGTCAGTAAGAACCCACGTTCAGAACTGTTGCATTCCATCCTTGCTTGTTCGAACTACAGTTTAGAGTTGTCATTTTGAGACTCGGTCATAGATTGTAATCATCCCAAAGTAGTCAGAGTTGCTGAACTGATTAATCTTTGAAAATGGGTATGTTTTTAAGTAGAGTTCCCCGTCTTTACAACCACACTCTTGAATAAATTTAAGTCTTGTCAACGAGTCGATTGAAACATGCCTCTACATTGAGCCGTCTAGATGACTTTCCAATGCAGTAACCAAAATAAGTTACTCCAGAGATACCGTAGTATAGCCGCTGAGTGTTTTCTGTAGTCTCTGTGGAATATCCGTGCTGCCAATTTTCCTGACAGGGAATATTGTTTTGTGAGCCGCGAAAGCAGTTCATATTGCAACACTGACGCTGTGTCGGTGTGATTGTGAGTGGCGGCTGCTGAATTGGTTCCAGTGCTTTCATCCCCTGGGGCCGGACCGGGTATCAATCAGAGTTCCGTCAAGGTTGTCTTGAGTTATCCATATACTTCACGGCTCTTACCAGGACGCTATCTATGCTGTTAGAGAATTCATTTGCGTGGCCTCATCCATTTTGGCATCCATTTGATTGGTTGCAGTCTAGTCTTGAAGCTATGTTGCTGTTCTAATAAAAAAAAGTAAGACGAGAGCTATGAAAGACTGATTGCAAATCAATAAGGTCCTAACTATGAAGTGGGATCAAAAATAATAATTTTTCAAACTGAAGTTCATGGAGCGAGTGGTAGAGCAATGGCGCGGTAGTAAACTTCTATGTTTAATATAAAGATTTTTTCCTGATTTGTGAGCACATCCCTGCTGAAGTAACTTCATTTTATTTTAGTGTTCTTCCTCCATGAACTTCGTCGGTCTTTTTTCCTTTGAAGCTGTAAAAAGGAAGGTCTTTCAAAGTCCCCTGAGCTTAGACAAGTTGCTAGTTGGTTCATGTTAATTGCACATCGTTATTAGAACCAGATGCGCTACTCTGATTTATGGGTATGTTTGCTACTGGAGGGCTTAGTGTGAATAGAAGAAGAACACAATACCTTGGGGAGCCATTACGGTACGGAATTCTCCTCTTATAGATACGAAAAGTATGCATAGATTATCCTTAAGATCATTAGTTACATCTTCGTTTTCCCAGTATGAAGCCCATCTGTACACTAGAACGCTACGGTGAACGAAGCCTGGGCTCATGGCTGCGAAATAGTTTTTATCAGAGCCGTGGTTTCGATAATCTCCTATTTAATACAGATAATGCGCCGGTTTTTCCGTTTTGCCGGATGAACAGTCCCTTTCTAGCAATAGCTCACTTGATTAGAGTCCCTGGTAGCGATAAATTGGAGGATAACAAGTAGAGCTAAGGGATTGAGCGTGCAGTTCAGAAAGCAAGTAATGGGATGATATATACATGTTTAGAACGAAGAAATAGCTGGTTCCAGGAACAATAGATTATACTATTTTAAAGAGAGTGTTAGACGAACATAGGCTCCAATATCTCGTGAGGAACCGCTCTGGATTGTTACTAATGAAGACGACAAATTGCTTGATTCGGCATTTGTCACCACTCTCAGTCGTCCTTCCTGCCGACCCCAAGGGACGATATATCCAAGTTAGTATACATGGCGATCCACCATTCGAACAGCTTATTTGGGCTCCTGCCATTGTTGATCAGGACAGCCCTACAAGTGACATCTCGATGTGTATAAACCAATAAAATGGTGATGAGACGAGTTGTGAGCTTTGAACCGGCCTCCTCTAGTTTCTCCACAGATTCTTAATAACGTTTATAATCTACGTTCCGACCCATCAATAACTTTCCGACCCCTTCCAAACACAACAATTTTATAATTCAATGATTCTTAGCCTATCTAATACAGGAGCAGCAAAACATTGTCGTGAATGTTCGTTTATTGGAAGAGAAGATGAGCAGAAGACGTGAAGACCATATCTTATGATGAGAGCGGTGAAAGAAAATAGTCCATATGTTGTATCTTTCCCATATGTGGCCTCTTCTGCCAACCGCTCTCGTATAAATCCTTTGGTCATGCACATCCAAACAATATGACGAAAGAGAAGTCAGAAGCTCAAATGATGTGTAAGCCGTAAATTGTCACAGCCTGATGACTCATTGAAGGTACCAGATTGAAGATATACATTGTCCTGACATGGATATCTAAATGGTCTATCCAATTATCAATCAAGGCTCAATGGGTGTAATGACAATAAGCTAAAGTTAGATTTATCGTGAAGATGATGAGTTGGATACGGCTTAGACGAATAATGAGATTATATCTCATCAAGCAACCGTGTAATGGCTATTACATAAGATATTCAACATCTGTATACTTTATATTTGGTTGGCTTGAATTAGCTCAAATAAACGTGAGATTAATTAGTATCTTTACAGGAGAATCTAATTAGAATATTCCTAGAAAGATGAGCTTCTCTCTCAATTGTCATTGTTAACTTGATTCCATCTTTTCGAATGACGTGACCTTTACGTCTTCGCTTTAGACCTTCTGATATACGGTACCGGTAATAGAATAACAAGTGCTAATGGAACATTTGTTTGTTACCTAATAACATCAATCTGCTTATCAGCATCAGATTTCAACATTGTGTTCTACAGTATACTTAAGTTACGACCTTTTGTAAACCTGCTTTTCCTCTTGAATGAATGAAGGAGCCATACTGTACCCGACTGGTCAAATGTTAGTTGGATAAGATGGATCAAGGAACACTAAACATTGCCAGAGTAAGGTCAATGGGTGCTTCTGATGTCAGTTACGTAGCATCTGCTGTAGTTTCTTTCCAATAAATTCCGGATAATCATTAGAAGAATGGCTCAAGTACCGAATGACAGATAGGTGAAGAGTTACAAATGGTCGAGCCAGAATATGAAAAGAACTTATTAGAATATGGCTTTAAATACTTGTAATTTATTGAGGAACATATGTGAAACACTTGACACCACTTCATTACATGGAGCAAAGAGGTCTCTGTCAGTCTCTTACATTTTGTTTTTTTATAGAACGAGACAATTACATAATCTATGAAAAGTAAGTTTCATTTAGACCTGGCTAATTCATTGTTGTAGGAAGATGGTAATCCTTCAAATTTACAAAGAACAGCTATTGTCACCTCTTCAATGACACCTCTTCAGAGATGTTGTTACAAAGCTAAGTGTTTGTCGGGAAATATAAAAAAGATTTTATTGTTTCTGTGATTGCGTATTCTGCTAATAAAGTGCTTCACCAATTTATTTTTACGTATATCTTTTATGTTGGAACATTCAAATATATGTAGTCAAGTGTCGGACCCCTGAGTTGATGGATATTCTTTCAATCTTCAGCTGATAGATAGCGTTTTTCCTAAACGAATTCTTATCCATTTAGGAAAGTAGAGGGAAAAAGCATAAACCAGAATTCTTCAGTATTCACGTCGTGCACTCGTGATATAACGAAAACGAAAAGTTTGAAGAAGGATTGGCATTCCGTTACTCTCGGGGGAACTGTTTTCTACTGAACCAACCTCATCTCAGCTTTTTCGGGTTCATCAAACGAATTTTGACACAGAAAATTTTGTGACAAGGCTTAAGCAACTTTAGAATGAAATAGACGAATCGACTTGTCCAGAAAGAAAACTCTGAGTAAATTTACATTTCCTAGGAGACTTGAGCAAGTCTTGCCAGATTCCGTAATAAAGGTTTGAATTATGTTCCGATACTTGCTCCTCAAAACATCTATTTCCAGTCACTGAGGCTGCAAAAGGAAAACGTTGAATCCTTTGGCAGAGTAAATCAACCGCACCGCACTGCTACCGAATTGAAAATGAAAATTGTAAGTTGGCTTCCATGATCTCAACTAATCGATAATGAAATTCAAATCATTGAGACCAATGTTCATTAGCTTATTCAAGACATTGATTCATCAATATATCATGTTTCAAAAATATGTCCACGAAGCAACACGGAAGGTGCATTTCTAATCAACCGTTCCTCTCCTTCCATATCTTAAGCATGTCATTGATTCATGGATAATTAACATCTTTCTTCATAGTCTCCGCTTTCTTTAAAGTTAATTTGCAGATGTTATGGAAGGAAATACATGGCCATATACCATACATATGAATATAAATATTAATTTTTGATGAAATAGAGGAGCAGCATAAGAGAGGTTTTGATGGGCTGAAAGAAGAGGAATCGCATGAGAACCAGGTAGTTAACAAGTAACCAGGCAAAAGTATTTTATTGTTGCTTAGAAACAAAAACCAGAAAAGCTTCACTAGATGCATTTGTATTTCAATGAAGAATGGGTGTTGGAGTCAATGACACAGTTTGCTTAGTTGATCCTGATCTACCAGCTTATCATGTGAGCTTTTCATTCTATTTATAATTTCAATTGTTATTATTACAGCCCAATATCTATATTTGTAAAAACAACACATTGTGTTGTAGTCTGAACGGCAAGATCAAGTGCTGTGCTAATGATTTAACATTGAAAGAGCTGTATGTGTTCATTTCTTTCATTACGTTCCCTCTCTTGGACTTTTTTTTTAATCAAAGTTGTTGGTCCCATTTTTCTGAAAAAGGAAAAATAAAATTAGCTACCATCATTCCTTCTGGGTATCAGATGTCTTCATAGAGGCATGTACACACATGTAGGCCCCATATTGCTGACCGAGAATGCATTGAAGATGTTGATTACCGTATTTATCCGGTAGATTAGTCAATTGCTGTTTGAGCAATTGGATAATTATAGAACGAGGCCTTACAAATGACTTCTCTTTCAATCTTTCTCTCTGTTTCGAGCACTTATTTCAACATTCATCTGATGTTTTCTCTGAAGCAGAGTTAACTAAGACATAATATAAAAGGAAGAGTATCAGAGAGAGTATATCGAGTTAAATCTCAAGCATTCGAATAATATTTTATTTGAAACTGTTACTCATCAAGATCATCTCCATTTCATCTCATACACTATAATACTATTTCTCGGTTTTCAAGCTTACCCTCATCTTCATTTGCTCGATTTCTCGTAACAGACCATTCAACGGCTATTAAGATATATGACAAAATATTAGATTAAATATTAAGATTAGTCGAATAGGAAGCTCATCCCTCCCAAGAATGATTTCATGTATAGACATAATCTCTCAAATTTACAGGAATCTTTTTTTCAGATTCGCCCAAGCACTTCCGATTGTTTTAGTATTCTCAGCGTTTCTACTGATAGCTCTGATTACCAAATGCATTTTCTCCGAGTCAGAGCCTTACTCGGAAGATGAGGAAGAGGATCATGCATACGAAAACCATTCGTACGTCTCATATAGGAGTCGAACAATAATTTGTATAATTAAGTGAATTAACATATGATATGATGGTGCCGGATCCTCTGTTTGGAATGCAATACGAAGCAAATATTAATAAGTATAGTTTGCTGTCTGAAACTGTTATTGATCTTCTAATGTCATTTAAGGTTCAAGCAATCTACAAATGCATTGTCTGATGAAGTGCGTGAACGGAAGAGTAGATCACAAATCAATAAATGACTATAACTGAGTCATCATTTTCGTATATTCAAGTCCCTTAGCCTTTATTTTTTTTCAAATAATAAATATTTTCTATATATTCATTGGTGTTAATTGGTTGCGTAATCATTACATAGCAAGCTTCTTCTCGCTTTCTAATTTGTCTTTTCTCTCAATATGACCTTATAAGCTGTACACATGATCCGTCTCATAGTTACGTCAGAGGTTAGCAGAGAGGATGATATCCCTTAGGAGAAACCGCTACTTCTCTTTAAGGTGTTAATGAAAAGCCGACTTGAAGCTTAATCTGCTTTTCCATATGGACCTTTATTGGATTAATCATATATGGCCTTTGATTTAGCGCACACTTAAGATTGTTAGAATATGGATGAGAACGAATGTTTTTTTTTTTCAGCAAAATAAATTAGAGAGAGAGAGATAGAGAGTTCCCAGATAGTTTCCCTCAGCTAAAAGATTTGGTTGTTAAACGAAACAATTGACATTCGGAAAGTCATCAGTCAGTGACGAATCCATCCTTTGTGTTGCGACAATCGAATTTCGTCTAAAATCTCTTCTCTCAACATGATCTATTAGAAGGTAAAAATAAAGAATTCCATGAAAGATTCATTTGTCGGCAATACCTTTGAGTTAATATAAGGATCTGTTATGAGTTGTTGTTGTTGATGATCACATCATGTCATTTTTTCCTCTTCAAATGTCATCCTACCTCTCTTTATCGGCATCTGTTGTCAAATTTTTTGAATAATTAATTAGATAATGCTTAATTGGGTTATGGAGATAGGAGGGCTAGCATGAAGTCTTGAGTTATGCCATGAATCATCATGCTCATCCGTTTTATGAGAATAATTTTTTGTGTATGTGTTCTCAAGTGAGCTTCATGGTTGTTGAAGCTTTCTCCTTATAGCTAGTTTCAATTGAAGATTTGAATATTTTTCTGTTAATCCCTTGTTTAACGTTTGCTTTAAGTTTATTCATTTATTTCTCTGTATATAAATATAAATGAGAAATGACCTTTTGACCTTGTCGGCTCGATTTCGTGAACAACTTAGGGCTCATCACGTTGTCCAGATGCTAATGTTTTATAATAAAGTTACAAGTTAGCTCTTAAGAGATACTCAGCAGGGGTAATAAGAGATAGAAAGAGAATATGAGAGAGTTGAAATTGAAGATTAGCAGTATGTGCTAATAAACATTTCCTGTCATCTGTTGTACACGTACTAATACCTTAAATCGTTTTTGCGGACAGATTGCTCTTGAAACATGATATGTTTCTTCTTCAATTTTTTATGTAAACTGAGACTAAAAATGAATTATCTGATGAAACTCATGCTCTATCCTTCAATCGCATCTCGATGTTTCTTCTTCTTAATATGTGGATATTAATATTATCGGAAGAATAAACGATTTGCAACTCTCATTTGTTGGACAGATGGCATCAAACGTTGACAGTTTTTTGACTCATCCATTTCTATGAGAGAAGCTTCGTGCCTTTCGCTTTCAACCGTTCGCTCGAAATCAAATTTCTTTTCGGCATTCTGGAGATGAGTTCGGAAATTTGGATGTTTTTCGTATGTCACATCAACTTGGTTTCTTCAACAATCGCCTCATTCAGTTTCGCTTCTTTCTTTTTTTCAACTGAAAACTGTCTGGGTTGGTAGAGAGGAAGTGAAAAAGTGGATTGAGAGTAAATATTTTTGGGTTACGGAATGGAATGAAGTTCATTCCTGTGTGAGTTGGTCCCCGTGGGGCTTGTACGGCTCTATTTGGCCTTGTGACCTTTCGTCAGAAAGAGCCTCAAGTGGCAGCTGGAAGATTAGCATACGGAGTGCTAAAGAAAGTGAGAAGAAAAAGGAAAAGATATACAGATCTTCCATATAAAGAGGAAGAAAATAAAAGAACAAATGAGAGAGTGCGAGAGATAGAGACTGAAAACAACGGAGATATTTTCATGTCGTCTTATAGATGAGTTTTGCCGACAAAGGGCATCAACATACTTTTCTCATTTGCATATACTTGGCACATCTTGTCACCTGTAAAAGAAAAGAAACTGGATTAGACAGCCTGTGATGAGCCGGCTGCTCCTTGTTTTTTTTTGTTCCAAATCTCACTTATTCTATAGAAATCTTGGATAAACGATCTGCCGCCATGCAAATGATAAACGCAGCTTGACACCCTTTATGACCTTATTAAGATATTAAAGATTTGCATATGAAACTGTAGAGAAAGTCCAGGCTCATTTCAGCTTCAATCTGTTTTGCTCTGTTATTTCATAGAAAGAAAAATCTTCCACGAAATGTTTTTCCAGACATGTGAGGTTGAGGGTAGGAAGGCAGTTAAGGATTACGGTAGTTGAGGAGTGAAGTACCTCGGTTGTTGTGTATTATTCACATAAGAAGATACCAAATCAGATGCTTCTTCTAAGTGTCCGTCTATCTACCAGTAACAAATAGTGAAGGAAACACAGATCCTTATATGGACAACGACATAAAGATTTATGAAAAGACGTTGATTAGAGAAACGAGTATCATGTCCGATCATTATTGGCTGCTTGTATATGAGATAGTGAGAGATTTTGAGAGATTCGAAGACAAATTGAGAAGTAACTCAAGGCTTGGATGAGTTGGAGGCGAAAGCAGGATAAGTCCCTGGCGAGAACTTGACGTCTTGCTTCTTTTACACACATCCTGACATCAAACTTATACACTTAAATATATTTCAGTAGATTACGGTAGTTCATACCAACAAATATCACAAAACCTACGTAATTGTCCGGCTCAATCATCATAGAGCACTGGAGTATATGTTTCTTCGGTTGTTTTGCTTTTTTCTTTTTTTTTTGACAGCCCCTATGTATGTTGTATATCCCATTTTATTCTTGCGGTAGATTTCTTCAAGTAGGAGCTGGTACTTAGAGATTATACTTAATACCTTATTGAACACGACAGTCGGCTGCTCAAAAGATATCTAGTGAAAAAAGTAAATTCAAGGTCGATATGCATCTCGTGCAGATGTTAAAAGCTCTTCAACGCATGGTAAGCCATGAACTGTCGGGCCAGGCTTTGATGTTACGCAGCGTTAATACTGAGATGACAACCTGTCCCACTTAATGCTACTTGTTTTAACGCCTTAGCTCGCATCTTTTATCCATAGCTTAATCGGCTTATGTACATCGGCATGACCTTAAACCTTTCCACCTTGTAGGCATCATTGAGCTCTTCAATTTTCTTGGATTAGTCATTCTTTCAGTAATTTAAGGACGACAAGTTAAGAGACATATGAGCATCTACTCTTCCCAATGACTTTTAGTGTTGCCGACCGTTTAAGCGCTCTTAATTGTCAACCCCTCAAGAAGTTTTGGTTTATTCTCTCATTGTCCTGCACATCTGCTTATCTTTGTGAGTAAAGCTCTAAACGTATACTATCTGACAATACAGGAGCAGGCTCTAAGCTTTAATCTCCAGATGGGATCAACACCTCTAAATGTTGATGTTCATTTGTACCATTGACTTGCGACAGTCAATAAATGAAGTATTTCTTCATTGAATTGATGCGGTAGAATGTAGAAGTCATTTAGGCTGTTGTTCATTTATCTAAATAAGCCAAATGTTTCAATGAAGACCGCCTGTCAATTGGTAAACATGTCCTTCTGTTTCTATAGATGACAAACGAAAAGGATAAATACTAATGAAGCAAGTCAGTAAGATGTTAAAAGAACTTAATCCTGAGTACTTGAAAATACGAAAGAGATGACTTGACAACTGCTAACACAATCAACCTAAGGATGAGTAAAAGGAATGCCGACCGCTACGCGTGCATGTTGAAAATTAAAATGAAATTCATCAAATGTTACTTCACATGATTAGCGTATGGTTTGTATACGGCTATTCTAATTGCCATACTAAAACGTATTCTAATGAGGTTGTATGTTTAACTTGAGTTGCGAACAGTTTTTGCCGACATAGCCTTTCCGCATTTTATGATTGAAGATCATTACGTAGTTAATGAACAGCAGACAACAGACGTTGCTTGAGTATGATGACCAGGTGATGGTCAAAAACTTAATGACATCGTTATAAACAGATGAAACCGATATGCCCATACAAAGGTTACCGCGACTTGTAATTGTTACAAAACGGCAGATGGTTTGCGATTTCCCTCAAAACTCGTGTTTATCATTCTTCTCTTGCGTTTCAACATTTATCAGAGTTGTTTTATTACTTCGGATTAATGGTCTTTGAAGCTAGGAAGACTACCATAACCTGAAAAGCTCAAATGTGAAATTTCACTTGCACGCATTTCAAATGGTAGGAAGGGGCAGGACTCAGCAAAGTAAGCTCATGGTTGGCTGGCAGCTCACTTCCTGATGGGAGGAGCTTTTCAGGATGCTTCATGATTTCTAGTGAAACCAGTTACATCTGCCAGCTTTCTTATGCCTGCGGCAATTTTAGGATTCTCCCGTATTCGCTTCTACCCTTATTCTTTAGTCAACAGACAGTTAAGAGTTTCTGAGCTTAAGTAATAACCTTATTTCTGAGATCATCGAAGGAACAGCGAGACACCTAATTGTTTCCGGTTCTTCTTTAAATTTTGCACTCCTTCAACGTAATGGAAGCTCTACGGACTCTTGATCTGATCTGATTGGCTTTAGGCTCGTTCGCTCACGTCTAACTAACCTCTTTGTCTCTAAACAGATAGGAAACGGCAATTGGCTCCGTCGATGAAATTTTGAATGTCCATGAGAGTACTTAGATCATTTTTGATGTTCAAACGTTTGCAGTCTTTCCTTGTTTCAAATATAAGCCTTTTCGATCCCCTCATTCCAGCTTTCTCAATAATTCACTTGCATATCAATATGTTATTTATACATATAAAATCCTTATATGGTCATCAGCATACGGTGATATGTTGCCAAGGTCATCTGTCAGATAGTCTCAAGAATTGGAAAAGCACGAAAATTTTGATATCTGTCCTTTCCTTGCCAGCTGCTTCATTTCTTCTCG